CCAGAATTTTTCCCACCTCCCGGACTTCCATGCTCCATGTTTGATGGGATAATGGAAAGGGAGGAGCTGGGAATGTCCCCCTTGGAATTTTACCTGGGTTTTTATCCCTTCCCTGGGTTTTTAGGTGGAGGAATTCCCAACCCCTTTTCCCAGAATTTTTCCCACCTCCCGGACTTCCATGCTCCATGTTTGATGGGATAATGGAAAGGGAGGAGCTGGGAATGTCCCCCTTGGAATTTTACCTGGGTTTTTATCCCTTTCCTGGGTGGTTTTATCTCTTTCCTGCGTTTTTATCCCTTTCCCTGATTTTTATCCCTTTCCCTGGGTTTTTATCCCTTTCCCTGGGTTTTTAGGTGCAGGAATTCCCAACCCCTTTCCCAGAAGCTTTCCCACCTCCTGGACTTCCATCCTCCATGTTTGATGGGATAATGGAAATGGAGGATCTGGGAATGTCCACCTTGGAATTTCAGCTGGATTTTTATCCCTTTCCCTGATTTTTATCCCTTTTCCTGGGTTTTTATCCCTTCCCTGGGTTTTTAAGTGCAGGAATTCCCAACCCCCTTTCCCAGAACTTTTCCCACCTCCCGGGCTTCCATGCTCCATGTTTGATGGGATAATGGAAAGGGAAGAGCTGGGAATGTCCACCTTGGAATTTTACCTGGATTTTTATCCCTTCCCTGGGTTTTTATCCCTTTTCCTGGATTTTTAGGTGCAGGAATTCCCAACCCCCTTTCCCAGATGTTTTCCCACCTCCCAGACTTCCATCCTCCATATTTGATGGGATAATGGAAAGGGAGGAGCTAGGAATGTCCACCTTGGAATTTTACCTGGATTTTTATCCCTTTCCCTGATTTTTATCCCTTTTCCTGGGTTTTTATCCCTTTTCCTGGATTTTTAGGAGCAGGAATTCCCAACCCCCTTTCCCAGAAGCTTTCCCACCTCCCAGACTTCCACGCTCCATGTTTGATGGGATAATGGAAAGGGAGGAGCTGGGAATGTCCACCTTGGAATTTTAGCTGGGTTTTTATCCCTTTCCCGGGTTTTTATCCCTTTCCTGGGTTTTTATCCCTTCCAATTTCTTAAGGATACCTAAAATTCTCCCGGGATAAACAACCATTTCCTTAAGGATAAATAAATTTTTCCCAGGATAACTAACTCATAGTCCAATTTTTTAAGGATATATAAAATTTTTCACGGGATAAAAATCCCATAGTCCAATTTTTTAGGGATATATAAATTTTTCATGGAATAAACAACCCATAGTCCAATTTTTTAGGGATATATAAAATTTCCCCTGGGATAAACAACCCTCAATCTAATTTCTTAAGGATAAATAAATTTTTCCTGGGATAAAAATCCCACAGTCCAATTTTTAAGGATACATAAATTTTTCCTGGGATAAAAATCCCATAGTTCATTTTCTTAAGGATAAATAAATTTTTCCTGGGATAACCCACAGTCCAATTTCTTAAGGATATACAAATTTTTCCTGGGATAAACGACCCATATTCCAATTTTTAAGGATATATAAATTTTTCCTGGGATGAACGACCCATATTCCAATTTTTAAGGATATATAAATTTTTCCTGGGATGAACGACCCATATTCCAATTTTTAAGGATATATAATTTTTTTCTGGGATAAACAACCCATAGTCCAATTT